GACCCTTCAGTCCCCAAGCCGACGCTCTATCCATTGAGCCAAACCGATCCCGGCTCCACCTGTAGTTTTTTAAGAGCTCAGGCCAGTTGTCTGAGAGAATTTTTACATTTTAGATTTGTCTGATTGTTTCCTCATTTTAAGATTCAGTTTACTTCTGTATAATTTCATCTGGAAGCTGATCTTGTATATGACAGGAGTAAGAAACAAAAAACATAGGTTGCATCTTGTCAAATGTCAATATTTAACTTGCCTTCCTTCAAGTTGGAAGTTTGAAGAACTTTTGAATTCCACCTGTATAGTTGCCCCATGTTTATTTACAGAATTTTAGAGCATGCCTTTGAGTCTGTGAGCTATACATTTTTGCCAAAGGTCAAATTAGGGTAATGTTTCTATATATAAAGAAATAATTTTTAATATCAGCATTATCAGTATTGTATGCTGGTTAGGATCAGACTCTGCAACCAGACTGCCTTAATCAGGGCCCGGTTCTGTCATTTAAGAACTAGTCTTGCTCATTTAAGCAAATCATTTAACCTCTCTGTTCTCTATTGCCCCATCTATAATGCAACTAATATTAATATCTACCTGAAGGTTGGGAGGATTAAATGTAGTATTGTGTAAAGCATATAGAATGGTTCCTGGCATATACTAAGCATGATTTAAGTGTTTGTGGTGGTTATTATAGAATAGTTATTATTTTGGCAGTGACTAAGGAATAAAGTATGTGAACAAAAGAAATTAATCTCAGAACTTATAGCTGAATGCCATGCTTTACAGAGGTGTTATGAAAATTAAATGAGATAATATATAAAGCGCTTATCCCAGAGTAGCTGCTAAAAAATGAGCTTGTTCTCTGATATCTCCACCCCCTGTTCCGCTATAGAGCAATATAGGCAGTTAGATTTGTTTGCTCTCCTATACATTTGTTTGAAATTTTAGAACATCTAAAAACTTTTTTTTTCCATTTGCTAACAGAATAAACAGTAGTTGTTTAATTGTATACACCTTTAAACATGTATTGTCAGATCCCCCACCCCTTTTGCTTTTTGAATTACATACCTTATTACAGTAAATCCTACTAGAACCAAGATAGTAGACATTACTACTATTATTTCATTGTTTTTTTTAGAGAGAGAAAGGGGGTGAGAGAAAAGAGGAAGAGTGAGGCAGGAAAGGTGGAAGGAAGGGAGGAACGGAGGGAGGGAGGGAGGGAGGGAGGGAGGGAGGGAGGGAGGGAGGGAGGGAGGGAGGGAAACTTGGTGACCCGACTGGGAATCAAACCTGCAACCTGGGTGTGTGCCCTGACCAGGAATCAAACCTGCCACCTTTTGGTGTTCAGGTTAGCACTCTAACCAACTGAGCCACACTGAGCAGGGCAAAATGGTAGACATTATTAATCAGCCACAGAGTTGAACTGAGCTATAGCATCAGAATCCTTCTTCATAGTATCCCAGGTATCTATAAGACTTCATGCAGTACTGAAATCCTCTCTGCTTTAGAGCTTTCTAGAAGAAATATTTATGGAATTACCAAATAATATCTGGCTCTGTTAATACTCTGTCTCAAGATGTGGGCTCATCAAACCTTATGAAAAAGCAGTGTGGTCTTAGAGCATTTCCTAACATGATTTTCTATATTATAACATTGTTACATAATATAGGCATCTTTAGACATCTTCTAGATGGGACACATCAATTTTAAGAGTATAATTAATGACTATAATGCAAAGATTATAATGCAATGACTCGAAAAAGAGTGTGCATCAGAATCAGCTGAAATGTAGTCTTCAAAATACTCATGCTCCATAGCCCTGGCTTTTGTGGCTCGGTTGTGCTTCATCCCATGCATCAAAACGTCCCTGGTTCAATTCCCAGTCAAGGCACATACCAAGGTTAGGTTGTAGGTTCAACTCCCGGTTGGGGTGCTTGTGGGAGGCGATTGATGTCTCTTTCCCTCTCCCTTTTCTTCGCTCTCTCCTTTTCCCTTTCTCTTCCTATAAGAAAATAATCAATAAAAACATTAAAAAATACTCATGCTCTAGGCCTCATCCCAGATTTATTGAATCATATTTATCAGTAGATAGACCTTGACATATGCATTTTGTAAAAGTATCCCATGTGATTCTGCTATTCATATTACTGATTGAAAACAACTAGATACTGGCAAGAATCAGATATCTTCACATACTGTTGGTATGAATATAAATTGCTGTAGTGCAAACTACAGAATATTTTTTCAGTTTCTCTCAAAATTTCAAATCTGTATGATAGGAATACATATATGCACAAATATACAGTTTTAAGAAAGTTTCCTGTAGACCTGCTTATAATCTGAAACAATTATGAGTAGTTAAATGATTGTTAGTACACAAATGGTTAGTAAATACATTATGGTAGATACCATGGTTGTTTACTATACAACCCTTTAAAGAATGAAATATCACCAAAACCGGTTTGGCTCAGTGGATAGAGCGTCGGCCTGCGGAATGAAGGGTCCCGGGTTCTATTCCGGTCAAGGGCACGTACCTTGGTTGCGGGCACATCCCCAAGGGGAGGTGTGCAAGAGGCAGCTGATTGATAATTCTCTCTCATCAATGTTTCTAACTTTCTATCCCTCTCTCTACTTCTCTGTAAAAAGTCAACAAAATACATATTTTTAAAAATAAAGAATGGGGCCAGGACCTGTTTGGCTCAATGGATAGAGCGTCGGCTTGGGGACTGAAAGGTCCCGGGTTCGATTCCAGTCAAGGGCATGTACCTTGGTTGTGGGCATATCCCCAGTAGGGGGTGTGCAAGAGGCAGCTGATCGATGACTCTCTCTCATCGATGTTTCTGGCTCTCTATCTCTCTCCCTTCCTCTCTGTACAAAATCAATAAAATATATATATATATATATTTTTAAATAAATAAAGAAAGAATGGCCGAGGCAAGTTTGGCTCAGTGGTAGAGCGTCGGTCTGCAGACTGAAAGGTCCCAGGTTCGATTCCGGTCAAGGGGGTGTGCAAGAGGCAGCTGGTCGATGTTTCTCTCTCATCGACGTTTCTAGCTCTCTATCTTGCTCCTTTCCTCTCTGTAAAAAATCAATAAAATATATTTTTAAAAAATAAAAATAAAGAATGAAGTATGCATGAAATTAACACATGCTGATGTAGAAAGATATATAGGATATATTAAGTTGAATAATCAAGTCACAAAATAAACCTTTTTTTTTTTAAAGGTATTTTTATTGATTTCAGAGAGGAAGGGAGAGGGAGAGAGAGATAAAAACATTAGTGATGAGAGAGAATCATTGATTGGTTGCCTTCTGCATGCCCCCTACTGAGGATTGAGCCTGCAATCCCACGCAGGTGCCATTGACCAGAATTGAATCCTGGACCCTTTGGTCTACAGGCCGATGCTCTATTCAGTGAGCCAAACCACCTTGGGCCTAAACCTTGTTTTTTAAATTTTGTATGTAAATGTATAAAGTAAGATTTGAAAGAATACCCAGCAAGGTGTTTACAGTAGTTTTTTCATGACATAGAAGAATAGGGATGATGAAGGGGAGCAATAGGCATTTATACTTTTATTAGAGGCCTGGTGCACAAAAATTTGTGCACTTGGTGGGGCGGTGGGGGGGGTTTTCTCTCAGCCTGACCTGTGCCCTCTTGCAGACCAACAGCTCTCTGGTCTTAAAATATTACTGCTGACTATTACCGACAATCTAGCCTCCTCCTGTGGGAGTGACCCACAGGTTGATGGGGGACAGTGGTGGCAGGCGAGCAGTTGGCCCCACTCCTCCATTACCCTGCCGCCACCCCAATTACTGTCCCCTTCCACTGCCCATTTGCCAGCCCCACCCCCCACTTACCGTTCCATTTGCATATTAGGCTCTTATTATATAGGATATTTAAAACTAGGGGTCCAGTGCATGAATTCATGCCCCTTGAAAGGAATTGTGGGATGCGAGGCTGCCATGGGCAAAGGGGCGGGCCTCAGCCTGTCTTCCACGCCCCTGCCTGGCCCCTCCTGCCATGGCCCCTGGTCCCCTTCTCTGCCAGCAGCCCCACTCCTGCCACTGCTGCCCTGATGGTGCCAGACCTGCTCTCTCCTGCTGATGGTGCAGAGTGATTGAGATCCGCACCTGGCGCCTACAGTGGGTGCCTGGCAGTGGGTGTGAAAGGTGGCTGCCGGCCCAATTGTCCCTCAGGAGCAGGGGGAAGTGGAGAAACCCTCAGGTGATCGGGGCTGGCAGCAGGTGCGAGCAGGGCCTGCACTGGAAGCAGGTGAAAATGCCAGGCGGGAGGACGCACCTGGAAGCAAAGAATTTTAAGTAATTACCGCAGACTGGCCCCGATGACAGGGACCAGCACCCTGCCTTGGTCTGGAGCCCCTGTTCACCTGCTCCACCATCCCGCCATGGCCAACACCCACCATGTTCCACTCACACCCCCTGGTGGTCAGCGCAGGTCGTAGTGATCGGTTGTTTGGTGGTTCTGTCTTTTGGTCTATTTGAATATTAGGGTTTTATATATACAGATACTTGTAATAGATTTTAGTCTTTTTGTAATAGCAAAAGAACCACTGGACAGAACATGAATGATTAAAGTAAGCTTTGAGGGACCTAATTTATATGTGTCTGAACTGCTTATATTGCACATACCAGGTTTAACATTACAATTATGATCTCTGACTTGGGAAACAGAAAGCTATCTTGCATGTTTGCAAAGAGAATAAAAACTGTACTAAGGTTATTGTGAAAGTAATTGAGATTTTTAAGCATATAAGACTAAGATAAAAATATATCTGTGTTGTATTACAATTATATTGGCTACCTGTTCTAAAAATATTTAGTGTTTTTGCATATCTGGATATGAAAATTGGGTTCAGAATATTTTAGTTTATTACTTTTTCAATTGATTAGCTTTTAGTTTGTGAGGATATTAATACCTTTTAATTTCCCCTTTTAAAACTTTAGGCCCGATGAGAAAAAGGGAAAGTTAAGGATGCTGGAGCAGAACAATGGATTTCTCTCTCTCTTTCATGCAAGGGATCATGGGAAACACAATTCAGCAACCACCTCAACTCATTGACTCCGCCAACATCCGTCAGGAGGATGCCTTTGATAACAGCAGTGACATTGTTGAAGATGGTGGCCATACACCATATGAAGCTACCTTGCAGCAAGGCTTTCAGTATGCACCTACAACAGAAGATCTTCCTCCACTCACAAATGGCTATCCACCATCAATCAGCATGTATGAAACCAAATACCAGTCTTATAATCAGTATCCCAATGGATCAGCCAATGGCTTTGGTGCAGTTAGAAACTTTAGCCCCGTTGACTATTACCATTCAGAAATTCCAAACACAAGACCACATGAAATTCTGGAAAAACCTTCTCCTCCACAGCTACCACCTCCTCCTTCGGTACCACAAACTGTGATTCCAAAGAAGACTGGCTCACCTGAAATTAAACTGAAAATAACCAAAACTATCCAGAATGGCAGGGAATTGTTTGAGTCTTCCCTCTGTGGAGACCTTTTAAATGAAGTACAGGCAAGTGAGCACACAAAGTCAAAGCATGAAAGCAGAAAGGAAAAGAGGAAAAAAAGTAACAAGCATGACTCATCTAGATCTGAAGAGCGCAAGTCACACAAAATCCCCAAATTAGAACCAGAGGAACAAAATGTAAGTTGAAACATCTTTTTGAAAAATTTTGTAATGTTTCATATTTACTGGAAATCCTAGAGCTATTTTTCAGTTTTTATCTCTTTAAATGTTTCTGGTAACTTCTTCTAATGTCTAATAAGGAGCTTAGATTATTATAATAAGTGCTGAGAAAATATTTGTTGACTAAATGAATGGACATCATTAGAGTGAAACTATTATAAAACATGTGGCACTAAGAACTTGCTTTTTATGTTTCTTTGTCTAATGCCTTTATTTTTATTTGTTTCTAATAAACTTGTTTTTGAAGATGAAGAGTAAAGGAAAGGGAAGATGTTTAATTATATTGCTTATTTTGTTTTTTCAGACCAACTTTTGCCAGTAGATACTAGATTCCTAGATTTAGCACTTACTACTTTTGTGTTTGGTGCAGAATAACCTAAAGCAATAAAGGATCTCTTTTTATTAAAATCAGAGTTTGTTTTTATATATATTAAAACTCCAGGCACAGTTTTTAGAAAGGTTACCTTTCTTAGGTAACTAAAGGTGTATGCTTGCTTTTCAGTTGATAGGTTTAAAGCAGAATTTAGACAAAGCCCATATGTTGCATCTGGTAGATAGGTTTCTTAGGACTTCTTAAATCAACAGGTTCCCCTCACTGCTTTTTTTCTTACAATGTATTTATTAAAAAACAAAACAAAAACTGGGTATTTCACCTTCAGAGGGTTTCATATTCTGGATTTTGCTGATTGCTTCCCAATGGTATTGTTTAACAAGTTCTGTCCCCTATATTTCTTATAAACTGGTAGTTAGGTCTAGAAACTCACTCTCGTTTTTGGATCATATTTATTCACACTTTTTGTTTTAGTAATCAGTGTCACACAACAGTGGAAAGAACCATGGTAACACCTAATCTTGTGATCCCTCATGTGGGTTGGGCACCTTCAGGCATGATTTTTTTTTTTTTTATACATTATTTTTTAGCCACATCCTCCCATCCCTTTCCTTTTAACAACACATCAGCTTGTTTTCTGCTTTGGGACTATTTCTGCTTTGTTTTATTTATACATTTATTTTGGTGTGTTTCTTATAGTCTACATATAGTAAGACTAGAGGCTCACTGCACAGAATTTGTGCAAGGGGCTTAGCCCTGGCAGCCGTAGTGGCTGCCTCAGCCCTTTCAGCCCAGCTTTATCCTGAAGGTTATTCAGCTGTCCGGTCTAATTAGCATACTATGCTTTTATTATTCTAGATTATATGATGTGTCTTTCTCTGTCTGACTTATTCCACTTAGTATAATACCCTCTAGGTCTATCCATGTAATCACAAATGGCAAGATTTCATTCTTTTTTGTTACTGAATAATAATATTCCATTGTGTGTGTGTGTACCAGGTCTTCATTCATCATTGATGGACATTTATCTAGATTGCTTTCATATATTGGCTATTACTAGTAATGCTATAGTGAATATAGGGATTCAAATATCTTTTCAAATTAGTGTTTTTGTTTTCAGATAAATGCTAAAAAGTGGAATTGTGGGATTGTATGGCAGTTCCAGTTTTAATTTTTTGAGGAATCTCCATACTGTTTTCTATAATAGCTGCACTAATGTACAATCCCACCAACAGTGCACCCAGGTTCCCTTTTTTCCTCATCCTCTCCAGTACTTGTTGCTTATTGGTTTATTCATTTATTGATGATAGCCATTCTGACAGGTGAGAGGTGATATCTCATTATGGTTTTAATTTGCATTTCCCTTATGATGAATAATACTGAGCATCTTTTCATATGTCTGTTGGCCATCTGTATGTCCTCTTTAGATAAAGATCTATTTACCCTAGCCCAGTGGTCAGCAAACTCATTAGTCAACAGAGCCCAATATCAACAGTACAACGATTGAAATTTCTTTTGAAAGCCAAATTTTTAAAACTTAAATTTCTTCTTTTTTTTTTTTAAATATATATTTTATTGATTTTTCACAGAGAGGAAGAGAGAGGGATAGAGAGCCAGAAACGTTGATGAGAGAGAATCATCGACCAGCTGCTCCTTGCACAACCCCCAGTGGGGATGTGCCCGCAACCAAGGTACATGCCCCTGACCGGAATCGAACCTGGGACCCTTCAGTCCTCAGACCGACGCTCTACCACTGAGCCAAACCGGTGCCGGCTTTAAATTTCTTCTAATGCCACTTTTTCAAAATAGACTTGCCCAGGCTGAGGTATTTTTTGAAAGAACCACATTCAAGGGGCCAAAGAGCCCCAAAAGTATTGATTAAAACTCGCGAGCCACAGTTTGCTGACCACAGCCCTAGTCAGTTTGGTTCAGTAGATAAAGCATCAACCTGCGGACTGAAGGATGCCAAGTTTGATTCCAATTAAGGGCACATGCGTTGGTTGCAGGCTCAATCTCTGACACTCTGGTCAGGGCATGTGTGGGAAGCAACCAATCTATATGTCTCTCTCACATCGATGTTTCTTTCTCTCTGTCTCTCCCTCTCCCTTTCATTCTTTCTAAAAATCAATGGGAAAATATCCTTGGGTGAGGATTATTAACAACAAAAAAGATAGAAATCTTGTTCAGATCATTTGCCCATTTTTTAATTGGATTGTTTTTTGTTTTGTTTTAAGTTATATGATTTTTTTAACTTAATAAATCTTTATTGTTCAGATTATTACAAATGTTCCTCAATTTTTCCCCATAGCTCCCCTCCACCCAGTTCCCACCCTACCCTCTGCCCTTACCACCCCCCCTCACTGTCCTCATCCATAAGTATACGATTTTTGTCCAGTCTCTTCCCACACCCCCACACCCCTTTTCCCCTGACTATTGTCAGTCCACTCATTTTCTATGCCCTCGATTCTATTCACCAGTTTATTTTGTTCATCAGATATTTTTAATTCACTTGGTTTTTAGATTCACTTGTTGATAATTATGTATTTGTTGTTCATAATTTTTATCTTTACCTTTTTCTTCTTCCTCTTCTTAAAGAATATCTTTTAGCATTTCATATAATACTGGTTTGGTGGTGATGAACTCCTTTAATTTTTTCTTATCTGTGAAGCTCTTTATCTCCCCTTCAATTCTGAATGATAGCTCTGCTGGGTAGAGTAATATTGGTTGTAGGTTCTTGCTGTTCATCACTTTGAATATTTCTTGCCATTCTCTTCCTGCCTGCATAGTTTCTGTTGAGAAATCAGCTGACACTCGTATGGGTGCTCTCTTATAGGTAACTGTTTTTCTCTTGCTGCTTTTAATATTCTCTTTGTCTTTTGCTCTTGCCATTTTAATTAAGATGTGTCTTGGTGCGGTCCTCTTTGGGTTCCTTTTGTTTGGGGTTCTCTGCACTTCCTGGACTTGTAAGTCTATTTCTTTCACCAGTGGGGGAAGTTTTCTGTCATTTCTTCAAATAGGTTTTCAGTATCTTGTTCTCTCTCTTCCCTGACACTCCCATAATTTGGATGTTGGTACACTTGAAGTTGTCCCAGAGGCTCCTTATGCTATCTTCATATTTTTGGATTCTTTTTTTCTTTTTTCTTTTATGGTTGAGTGTTTTTTGCTTCTTTGTATTTCAAATTGTTGACTTGATTCTTGCAATCCTCTAGTCTGCTGTTAGATCTCTGTATAATATTTTTTATTTCAGTTAGTATATGCTTAATTTCCAGATGGTCCTTTTTTATATCCTCGAGGTTCTAGCTAAATTTATCGGCTTTTTCTAAGAAATTCTTGAAAAATCTTATAACTGTGGTTTTGAACTCTATATCCAGTTGTTTGCTTTCCTCCATTTCTTTCATTTGTGACCTGTTTCTTTGTCTCTGCATTTTGGCTGCTTCCCTGAGTTGATAAGAGTGGTTTTGTGTGCTAGGTGTCCTATATGGCCCAGTGGTTCAGCCTCCCCACAGTTACCTGAGGTAGACACTCTTGGTGCACTCCTTTGTGGGCTGTGTGTACATTCTTGTAATTAAGCCTTGATTTTTGTTGGTATCACTTGGAGGAATTGACCTCCAGGCCCATTGGCTGTGAGAATCAGCTGTAACTACTCTGGGAGAACTTCTGTGCTGAAGACACCCTTATGAGACAATACTTGCTTGAGTGGGGCTTTGGTGCTCACTGAGTCTACCCCCCCTGAGTGTGTCCCTTATGGGTCTGAGGATTTGTAATCTGGATGGTCCTATTTTGACCTCTGGGTATACTGGCTCTTGGATCTCCAAGGAGGTGCTAATTTAGCCTTTGCCTGAGGCCACCCAGCAAGAGCTTTGAAGAGATTTACAGATTCCTCTTCTTTGTTTGGGTTTTGGAGGTGCCCAGATGAGGCCCAGCTGTGAAGCAATGCATGCTGCTGTGGGGCCTTGGGCCTTCTTTTGGATGTTCTGGGTTTTTCTGACTCAGCTGTAGTTTGTTAGGTAATTTTAGATTTCAAAGGACCAAGCCATTCATATGCAAAAGTCTCTGCTTACAGCTTGGATGAAGCAGAGCCTCAGAGCGGAACAAACAGCAATGGCTGACCATCAGCCCTGTCCTAAGAGGCCCCTGGGTCTCAGTGTCCCTTGGTAATCACTGCAAGCACCACCTTTGAGTTCCTCCAGCTGCCAGAGACTCCAAAATCTCCCCGTATGAGTTTGGGTCCCCAGAATCTCGCCCAGAACGAGTTCAGAGCAGTCGGGAGCTTGTATCTCCCTCCAGATTGAAAAAGCCAGCCACGTACTCAGTTGCCAGCCCTCTCCGTGCGTGCCTCCAAACCTGTGCACTTTACTTCTGCAGCTTCTCTGAGTCTCACTGTGCTTTTCTAATTGTAGAATTTCCACTTAGCCAGCCTTCTTGTGGTTCTGGATGATATCCATTTTGTCTTTTAGTTGTAGTTTTAAAGTTGTTGTGCGAGGCACAGGTGTTTACCTATGTCGCCATCTTAGGTTTGTCCTCCAGACTATTTTTCATATCTACTTTTTGCTTTATTGAAATCTAGGAAAAATTCAATGCAGTGATATTTCTAGTAATCACTCTACGATGAGATTTTAAAACCAAT